AGACAAACAATGGGCACCTCATTTCACCTGCGAGCAATGCAAACAAACTCGGGAAGGTAAGATGGACAATTGTTGCTCGGAATTTAATTTTATATTTCTTAATATTTTTTAATTGAAAAAATTTATATTTTAAAATGTTTTACCTTTTTCATATTACTGAAAAGATATATCATATATGAAAAATGTTGCGAGATTCTCTAACACATTCGTCATTGGTGATATAAATTGTATTTTTGTAGGATGGTACAGAGGGGAAAATAGAGCCATGAAGTTCACTATCCCAAGAATTTGGCAGGAACCCACTGACCACTCAAGCAACTGTAACTTCTGAATGGTGGACCCTTCCAAATGTCAGACTGTCAAGAATGCACCTGCTATCACGTATCCGGACCTTCCTTCATCCATCGCCCGGTGCCACACTGCCATGAGCTCCCCGTACCCACTCTTCTGGAGAGAGAGCAGCCATCTTTAGACGAGAGCAGCGAATCAGAGAGCGAGGAAGACGTAGATCCAGATGGCAATTTCAGAGGTGGAGCTGAGGAGAGAAAGCCATACTACCCCAACCATAAAGACCTCAACGACTTGATCAAAGATCTTGGTCTCACCAAGTCCATTGCCAAGCTTTTGACATCTAGGCTCAAGCAGTGGAACTTGTTGGATGAAAGTGTGCAAGTCGCAGATCAGAAAAAGTGTCACTAACCTTTTTGCAGCTTCTTCACCCGTCAAGATGGGCTCTGCTTCTGCCACAATGTGACCAGTCTGTTCGAGGCAATCGGAATCGCCTGTAACCAGAATGAGTGGTGCCTCTACATTGACAGCTCATCCAGGAGCCTTCAAAGCCGTGCTGCTCCATAATGGTAACAAGTACCCGTCTCTTACCCTGGCTCACTCGGTGCACCTCAAAGAGGATTACAACAGCATCAAGACCTTGCTGGACGCCTTGAAGTATGATGAGTACGGCTGGGAGGTCATCAGAGACTTCAAAATGGTGGCATTGCTGATGGGTTTCCAAGGCGGTTTAGCAAGTTTCTCTGTAATCTTTGCCTTTGGGACAGCAGGGACACCAAGACGCACTACCACATGCGAGACTGGCCACAGCGGACGGAGTTCTCTGTGGGGAGGAACAACGTCAAGTGGGAGCCACTGGTGGATCCCCTGAACGTGCTGATGCCACGATTGCACATCAAATTGGGCCTTATGAAACAATTTGTTAGAGCTGTAGATAAGGAGTCGGCAGCCTTAAAATACCTTTACGACTTCTTCCGTAAGCTGTTTGAGGAAAGGTCAAAGCCGGTCTCTTCATCGGACCACAGATAAAGAAGATCCTGGAGTGCAATGAATTCCTCAAGAAGCTCACTAGTAAGAAGAAAGCAGCTTGGAACAGCTTTGTCGCAGTGGTTCGTGGCTTTCTAGGCAATCACAAGGTCGAAAACTATGTGGAGATGGTTGAGACTCTGGTGAAGAACTATGGCACAATGAGCTGTAGGATGTCCCTCAAAGTCCATATCCTTGATGCTCATCTTGATAAATTCAAGGAAAACATGGGAGCGTACTCGGAGGAGCAAGGTGAGTGCTTCCACCAGGATATACTGGACTTTGATCTCCGCTACCAAGGACAGTATAACGAGAAGATGATGGGAGGCTATATTTGGGGGCTGATTCGTGAAAGTTATTTACAGTATAATCGTAAATTTCGAAAAACTACTCACTTTTAAATCTTGTGTAGTTATTTTTGTATTACTTCAGTATAAATACATGTTAATTTTGATTCATATGTTGTTTTTTTCTGACTTTATGTGAATAGAAAGACACAAATTTGCCCGTTTTGTCATTGAAAATAGGTACATTTCAAAATATTACTGTCCTGGTCACAAAAGCAAAGTTTGTGGGGAATAATAGCCATTTTCTATACTTTTTAGGCATAAGTAATTACGAAATAACACTTAGTACCCAGGAACAAAAATTGTGTTACATAGTGTGATCAACCTAACTGCGGTGTTACCCATTTATACTTCTGGACGAACAGACGCATGCGGAATTTAAGAAACATGCCCCCATCATTTTTCACTGCTGCACTGGGAGATCGATTTGAGCCAGGGACCTCTGGATTGCAATTCCAATGTTCTTACCACGACACCACTGCGGCAGCTTCCTCCATTTCTCAATCAGAGAGGTAAACATTCGATGTTAATTTCCAGATATTGCTCCACTTGCATCAAACCGCGAACTAATTTCTTACCGGTCTTTTTTCGCGTTCACTATCTGTGTCCGTGGATCTCTCCCAGCTAATCTCGTCTCCCACACTCGCTCCCGAGGCCACACCGTCCCCCTCACTATCTCAACAGCGAGTCCATCACTCTCACCACCATTGCACCAGTCACTTAGCAATCACACAGTTTCCTTCCCTCGGCCACCTCCTTCCAGGTTCCAAATATCCTCTTGTCCCACCAGACATCTGTCTTCTTCACTTCTCTGCAACTGCACTCTGTCGATCCCTGCTACGCGGTCACATTACACCCTTTCGTTGAGAACCAGAGTGCCACTGTGCCTACTGCTGTGAATGATCTCGGCCTTCCAAAAAACTATCTTTAATTGGTCATTTTAAGGCCGAGTCAAGCTAGGAAATACTCAGAATGTGTTCAGATACAATGTGTCAATTCATGACTGGGAATCAATCCCAAGTTGTCACGACCAAAGTTGTGAACCAGTGTGCCACCAATCTCTGCATATACAACACGAAGTTAAAGACAAAGATCCCCCACAGTAGCCTTTAACAGCCTGTTGGGGTAAGTGCTGTTCGCGAGCACCTATTAAGATCCCACACTACACATGTATATCCACCTTTGTGTTTCCACTGCTGATGTTTACACACTGTACTAGGGACTCGTTTAAGGCTGAGTCGACCTAAGGTACCAATTCAGATATTCGTCACCGATGATGGCCGCGAGTGGGAATTCAACTTGGGTTCGTCGCACAGTGCGTAACTGCTACACTACCAAATATTCCTGCTGTAGCCTTAACAGACTCTTGAAGCAAATGCTATCAACGAACACCTATGAAAGCCAACACCCACGCAAGGGGGTGGGTGGCCAGCATCACGCCCGACCACCTTTCTCATCCCAGTGCTAATGGTTACACACCACACCAGGTACTCATTGAGGGTGAGTTGACCTCAGGGAGGCCCAGGACCGGTTCAGATATTCTTCACTGGTTTTGGCAGTTATCGCCAATCGAAGTCGGATCGCCGGGTTCATAGCGGAGTCCGCTAACCACGACACTACCACTCCCCACATATACAATGCACACACACAACCACACATGCATTGTGTAGGACAGGTCATAATGTTTTAGCAATCTTATTTAGAATGAGACATTTTTCATTCTCAACCACCTAACAGTTGGCTCATTTTTCACGACAAAAAGTACATTACTATTAATGCTATAGGTCACTATTCTGAAGGTGAAAGTAATTAATGTGAGCATATATTTTATATATATACGATCCTCCCAGGGCCCAAATGGGCATAGTGTCATTGTGTCCCCCGTTGGGAACCCAGAAACGGGAAAATAAATTCCACATTCCTATGGTGGGATCGATTCTTGCCATGGACATCCACCGCGGTGTCCAACAGTGGCTGCCCATGGCAGGAATCCATCCTGCCATAGCAATGTGGAATTTCCTTTTCTTGCCCATAATACAGTTTTTTTTGGGTCAAATCGCGTAAATATAAATGCCTCGTTAAACCCGCCACCACCCACCACAGCCAATTACTAAGGTTTGCCACGTAAACAGAACGTGCCAATTCGTTACCAGTGCAGCACACCCGTGCGTTGGAGAGCAAATCCACAACATTTACAATTTTCAGTACGACGTTTCCCCAGTAATTACAACTAGCAGCATCAGGCGGCAGCCAGATTTGTGGAGACATCCTCCTGTTTCGTTCCTGAGAGGGATAGATGTGATGACGTCACTTGTGAACCTTTCTTGTGCGAAGTGGGGGGGGGGGGGGATTAATGAATGCATATGGGCTGCCCACAGCATGACACTACGCTCGTTTGTGCCCACTGTTGGGCGCCGCGGTGGTGAGATGTTAACTACCTCGCCTGATATCCAGGAGGTCGTGGGTTCCATCCCGACCCTGATGCCTGCTGTATATTTGCATGTCTCACTCCCCGTGGTCGTGTAGATTTTTCTCCGGACCCTCTTGTTTTTTATCTCCAAATTTTGAAACATTAGTATTTAGCTGCTAGAAATTTCCACGTGATATGCCATTTTGTTGAGCTGTCATTTGTGGCCAGGTTGTTTCTGAAAAAGAGCTGTATAGCTCAGTGGGTCATACCTGGTAAAATAAAAAATACTATAGTTTTTATTTAGTTTGTTGACTGCTGGCCGAGTCGCCCTTGAAAAAGAACTGCAAATCTCAATTGGCTTTACTCTGGAAAACTTCATATTTCCTGCAAAGTGGTACTCGATGTGCTAATCTCAAAGTGATATTTGGCAGAAAGAACCGTTGACTGGGATTTAAACCTGCGAACTTCCGTGTGGAAGTTCAGCATCTCTAACAACAGTACCACCTGCCTCATCATAATGGTATTATAATGACAGGCTATTAATTAGCATGCAGTCAAACAATTAAGAGTAAAAATAATAATTAAAAACAGGAGGCCTGCACTTCCTTGCTGCTGATGATGGAAGGTCCTCCACTGGAGGAACCTCTAGAAAACCCCAGTTCGGGGCTATTTTGGCCTACTCTTTCACGCTCATATTACCCCAGCACAATCGACGAACTGTCGTGCATGTCCACTGCAGCGTGCACAGAGGGATTTCAGAAACACACCCGCGTTGTTTCAACTGCCGCGCCACGAGATCGAATCGGCATGTCCACCCCGCGAACCAATTCCACCACGGCACCAATCCTCCAACGAAGGAATCTCGCTACGCGCCGCGGAAAGCATCGGGGGAGTGCTGAGCAGCGGCTCTGCAGTCGCTCGCTCATCACCTTGCCGGGGGCGAGCACCATCGCTCGACGCAGCCAGCGGGAGTCCCGCGCGTCCCTGGGAGCGGCCGGCGCTGTCGAGACGCGGTCTCTCCGGGGACGAGAGCGAGTGTCCGCGAGCGATAACCACGCCGCCGTCGCCGCCGCCGCCGTCGCTGCCCCAAGCTCCCAAGAGAGAGCGCTTATCCAGCGCCGGCAGGCCAGGATGGTGAGCCTGCATCTGCCACGTGCCTCCGTCAAGCTGCTGGGAAAGACGACAGTGGCGTTTCAAAGTGAGCGGCGCTCTTGTTCGTGGGCTCGTGGAGCTCGTGCTACCACCCAATTGTGGATTCAACCAAAGTTCCTAAACGCGGTCGCACCTCAACGGTATGGTTTTACGCTCGCGAATGAGGTCATAATGTTCAGCGAGAGGAGTTGGTCCAGCGAAGCCCATTTGATACGATGAAAATAAATTGAAGTTGTCGTGTTATAGAGGCTATGTACAATTTGGGTAGAATTATACCTCATGGTTGCTCCCATTTAATTTTATTTTTCTAGTGCGCAGAATATGGAATGGGCCGTAAGTGTTCTTCGCGGGAGTGTAATCTACATGCATATTTCTTACTCATTATCCACTCCAGGCAACCATCACAAATGAAAGAAGAGGAATTGGATGGATTTTATAACCCTACAAATGCCACATATTTTAGAGAGAAAAATTTCTGAATTCACTTTTTTTTCCTATTTTTTTTCCCGCTTGCCCGATAAAAAAAAATCAATATAACATTTTAAAAGGGATCAAATTATACTTTGTGAAACGGGTCAGCGCAGAACCCATTTAAGACAAAAAATCTCTGCTTGATGGTGCGGCTGGCTGATATAAAGCTTCATTAAACCTCAGTGGGTTTAGAGGCGTGGACCATACAGATGGAAAGGCGCTTTTAGCTGCCTCAACCCGTGCTGTGCGGCTATCCCTAACGTTATTCTTCGCATGATTTTGCAGCCTTTTTACAAGCGGCACACTGGCATTTCGGGGAGGAGTCCCACAGGAATGGGCCGCATGAACACAAAAAAAATATGAGGCTTCGCAAAGAAAGCAGATGATAGAAAGAGGCTGGGAAAACCCAGGGGGCTGTCTGTGCCACAGCACTGAGCCAGCGTCACTGAGATGCCGGGTTTGAATGTGGGCAGCGGCGATCTGTTCATTGAAACGGGTTCTCGGGTGCGTGAGCTGGGGGTTTCAGACCGGTCAACCCAAAGCGCCACGCACACAACAGTGTCCAAGTGTGTTACAATGCTCGTACAGTCATGGGTCCAAGTAATCGTCTCCGAAGCTGGTAGGGTCGAATTCCACATTCATATGGCAAGACACCGTCGATCCACAGGACAATCCCTGTGTTAATTAACACAAAGTGGCACTTGAATTGAAAGTCTCAGATGGATGATAGACTGAGTTTATTTATGACTGAGATCTGAATATGGTTAGCTGGTTTGAATGATCAGCAGTTTATCAAAGGGTGAAGGGTTAAAGATTGTACGTAGTGTGTTGTAAACCGCCTTAGAGTGGTCATTTTAATACCGTGTGCCATGTGCACGTCCTCTGTAATCACGTGTTTTTACTGGGGAGTAATGACACAGCAATTAGCACACCCGTGCAATAAACCTGGCCTCCTGAGTTCAGTTCCTGACAATGGCTATCATCGGTGGCTATCAATATTTTGAATTGGTCCTGAGCTTTGCTTCTGCCACAACCACACTGACCAGACTGGTGAAGTATGGTCAAACGACGCCTATGAATGACACGGCGAAAGGAGGTAGTGGATTACACTGGTCAACACACTTTTTCTGGCATAAGGTATTCCAACGGTTTTATTGTAATTTTGGGGTGCTGATTCCAAATCTGGCATCAGTTTTTGTCTATCACATCAAGTTTTTGAGATGTCAAATATTGCATTTTCAATAAAAACTGCGGAAGAAAAATATTAAATAAATGTGGATATCTACATAAAATGATATTATAAACACACTATCTTAAAAATACAGCACCATATTTTAACACTAAAGCAGTCACTGACTCGGAACAACTTGCAATCATAAGTGACAGAGTTAATTTCGGGTAAAATCAATGAAAATGGGGTATGCCGATAGCATAAAATGAGATGTGATAGAGCAAATCTGAGATCTGGAATCAGCACCCTGAAATTAGTCTAAAACAGCTGCAAAAGTCCAGGCCAGGAAAAAAAAGGTTTTTTTTTGTTGACCAGTGTTATAAGATAGGGCTGTAAGTTATCAATTATTGCTGTATCCCATGTGCTTGTTGCAGAGAAACGTTTCCAATGAACGATTGCTGCCTGCTATGACACCTGGATCGGAAGCACGGACACTGGAAACAAAAGTGGAGCAGAGACTCAAGTGCAAAGACTGCAGAGAGATCCATGCTGATAATGACACTGAGAAGCAGAATGAGAAACGCATTAGTCAGAATTCAAACACGCATCGATGTTGCACGAGGTTGCATTGCCAGAATATATGAAAGGTGGGACTGTTGGTGAAAAGGCGATTCTATTTTATACTCAAGATTGCAGCATATTCAGGAAATGTCAATGTTGAGGTCTGCCAGCCACGACGAAAGGGCGTCAGGAGAGAATGTGTAGTTTGTCTACTGCTCTGTTGAAGGCGCACCGGCCACAGTGGGTCTACCATACGGCCTCAGGTTTGGGTTGCATGGCCACAGTCTCACTAGGGCGTGCTGTCTATTTTCCATTCGTGAAGACATGCACAAAGCGGCCTGTTGATGTCCCGATGCGGTTGACAGCGTGAAGCGGGACTTGCCTGCGGTCCATGCCGCTGACCGCTCGCCGCTTGTGCCGCGTCCGCGTGAGGTCGCCCGACCCCGCGACCCCAGGCCCCACTCTCTCCGTCGGAGCGGAGGTCCGGCTCCCCCGAGGAGCCCTGCGTGGCTGCGTCGCTGGACCCCAGGGAGAGGCTGCCGAGGAAAAATTTGAAGGGGGAAATATCAATCCATAGGCAAAGAGATCGGTGTTGGGGTTAAATTAGGAAGACCACCACCAACTGCTTCTTAATGTCCAATGCGTTTGAAGGACTTGTCATATTATTACGGGACATAAAAAAAAACATACCATGCATTCAATTAATTGAGTGAGATGAATATTACATGCATCGTACAGCAATGCATTGGTGTAATAAGTCTCCTTATTAATAGGCAACGGGCGGGGGGGGAGCTCTGTTTGCTCATTTCTGTTTTCCCATACTAAGCCGCTTTAGCATTTAAATCTAAATTAAAAAGAAAATCATGGCAAGGCAAGTCAAATGTCATGCACAAATGAGTGTGCATCAAAGCACGCCTCTCTAAATGGCCCTGATGCAGTGGGGGGGGGGGGGGGGAAGTCCACATTCCAATGGACTGGGACCAGCCTCTCCGTGGCAAAAACAACCGCTGCCTACGAAAGATCGTTCCTCTCGTATTGTGAACCACGAGGGATGTTGTAGCTTGGTCGACTCCCGGCGGGGATTTGAACTCGAGTCGGGTTGCTCTAATCACTCTGCCACCCATCAGGACGGCACAGAGCCTCACGGTGCGTACCTACAACGAGAACTCATCTGGCTGCCCACGTGTCCATCCATCTGTCGACGCAGCTGCTCGCGACGGGGTATTATGACTGAGGCGCGCGAGTCGTGGCGACTCGCTTTTCCAAAACAGATCATTTCACCTTGGGATATGATGTCGTCGTACGCAGTCACCGGGACCGTGTGGACGAGTGTGGGGGATGTAAAAATGTCTCGTTAAAACTCGCCAACACCCGACACAGCCAACTAGTAAGGGTTGTCACGTAAACAGAACGTGCCCATTCGTCACTAGTACAGCACACCGGTGTGTTGGAGAGCCAAGCCACAACATTTACAATCTGAGTACAACGTTTCGCCAGTAATTACAACTAGCTTCATCAGGCGACTGCCAGATTTGTGGAGAAATCCACTTGTTTCGTTCTTCAGATTGTAAATGTTGTGGCTTAGCTCTCCAACACACCGGTGTGCTGTACTAGTGACGAATTGTCCACATTCTGTTTACGTGACAACCCTTACTAGTTGGCTTGTGTCGGGTGGTGGCGGGTTTTAATGACACATTTATATATTTACGCGATCTAACCCAAAAAAAACTCTATTATGGATGATATTGGTCCGCGAAAGCCTGCTACGTGTTAAACTGAGTGTGGGGGAGTTTGCATTCACAGGAGGAAGTGCAAACCTGGACGTGGCCTTTGAGTGGCACAGTGAGGTCCTCGGGGTCGTGGGGCTGGACTGACCGTGAAATTTCAAGAGCATAATCTCGTCTCTATAATGAGGAAGAGTATAATCTTCACAAGACCAGCTGCCCCTAAATTTCAACTCTTTCTTTTCTGTGAGAAAAAAAAGACATTACACATACCGGGTGGCCCAAAAGTTAGGACACATAGGGTTCTTTCATTTATTTTAACAAATGTTAAAACTGGCTTCCGTTAACATTAATGCATGCATGAAGTTTTCTTTTGAAAATACTAAGACTTTTTTTTAAGTTTACAGCTGCAATATTTGAACATTTATGAATTCTGTTTTGTTAAAATTCATTCGGGATTCTTGGTCGAGTTTTTGTAAACGACGGATTTGAGGTGACCTCCACGAGAAAAAAACTCGAGATTAATAATGATAATAGACGCAACATTCACTTAAAAAACAATACAAATTAGTGAATTCCAGTGTTAAATAAATGAAATAACCCAACGTAACCTGACCTTTGGGCCACCATGTATATTTATTTCCTCAAACTAATTATGATTTCTGAGGGCAACAGTAATCTTATTAAGTGGGGTATTGTTTGCAAATTAAGTTGTAACAACAGGCGTCGCCCCTGCTAATACGCAGAGCGAAGAGCCAACCACTGGCATACTAAGCATTGCTGTTCAGTGTGATTTGTTGCAATTATCGTGAACTTCATTCGCTGCTATGTTCATGATTTATGAAGCTCCACTTATTTTCTATTTGCCTATGGCCGAATATCACTAAATACACCCACCGACCTTCAAATCTGCTTGGGAATGCAAGGAATTGCAGGCTTGGGCTGCAAAGTGTTCAGGAGGTGGTAGTACAGCGATTTATTCTTGACTCTATCTGTGCGGAGCTTTGAGCGCAACACCACCTTCATGCGTAGGTTTTCTACAGGCCATACAGTTTCTTCCCACGTGGATACAATCTGGATTTCTGCGAAAAAAACCTTCAAAGCTCATCGGATTTCTTCAGGATAAATAAACACTTTGATTCTGATTCTCAATCCCTCACTAATAACAGGACTGGCAATACATGCCCATGCAGGAACCTCCTGAGAAGAAACCTGCCACCCTTGCCAAGGTGAATACTTGCCACTGTGTATTTATTGTTACTGCAGTGACATCGGGGATGTCACTGCATGGTGCCGGCCCGGAGAAGGGCCGTGGCGCGCGATGTTCCATCATCGCGTACACCCCGTGGTGGGAGTAGTACCAGCCCTAGCGGGGCTTGGTGAGCGCTGGGATAGCGCGGGCACCATGCGTGGCGTGAATTAAGGTCTCTCACGAGGGGGAGCGGGAGAGTGTCAGCCCAGGTTGCCCTGGGCCATGGCACTCTGGTTGACCCTGCAGACACGTGATCTAGAGTGTCCACAGAGAGGCACCAGGTGGTAGGACTAGGGGGTGATCACGTGTCTGGGGAGAGCTCTCCAGAGGTATCGAGGGGGAGTTAGAAGGCTCCAGAAGGCGGGCGGGGCCAGGGGCGGAGCGGCCCCAACCCGTGGGGGGATATAAGGTGGGTCCCTGAGAGGAACCGGGGTTGCTGCATACTACAAGCTGAAGCTCCACGTCCACCAGCTGAAGCTCTATATCTCAAGCTGGAAGCTCTACGTCCGAGGAGGCAAACACGTGGTTGCGGACCCGAGTGAGGGCCCGACCCTTCATAGCAGTAACTCCTCTGTATAGTGTAGTTAGCTGGGTGGTCACCACCCTAGGCTGTATCTGGTGAAGAGGCTGTTACCCCTTTGTGTTACGTGTTCCAAATAAAAGTGTTGCCTCTAAAAGGAACAACGTCTGCGACTCAGTTGGACTCACTACTGGTGTCGGAAATGGCCAACACGCTAGTTATTCAGCTAGCTGTAGACTATCCCTACGCGTTGCAGACCATGTACCTGGGCGTCGGACGGCGAGGACAAGGACCTCGTGCAGCCTACAGCTCTCGCGGATATGGGGAAGATGCTGCCAGCGGAGCAGGGCACCACCTGGGAGGCGCACGATCGCCTCGCGGAACTCATCCACATGGCGACTTCGCTCCTCGCGGAGTTTAGCCTCGTGGTCTCGCCGGCGAAGCAGGGAGCGGCGATGCTGCTCGTGGATGGCGACTCCGCTGTCATTTCATGATGGGCAGGAAACTCGCGGATTTGGCCGCTATTTTATCAACGGCGCGGAGCGCTCAGCCCGCCAAAATTGAAGATGCACCGTCGGCGCCGAGGGACAGCCCGGCTCTCCAATGTTCGCCTCCCTTTGTTAAAAGACTACACGGCTACTAGTGGCGACTGGGTGACCTTCAAGCGGCAGTTCCTCACGAACGCTGGCTTGGTGGGGTGGTTGGAGATGGAGGCGCTGCTGGCGCTACCTGTCACCCTTGATGACGACGCCCTTGCAGCGTTTCTCGCCATCCCGCCACCGGAAAGATCCACCCTCACACATGCCGTTGACCAGTTGGCGTCTATTTACGAGCCTCCGGCAGACACGCCGCCACAAAGTCGCCAAGTGCGTCCGAGCCCAGCAACTTCTACATCGGGACAGGGCGCTGGTGACTTGTGCAGTGTCCCGCACGGAGCCGGGGTCACCGGATGGAGCAGAGCCCCTTGCGGCATACACGTCGACTCGGGGTGGTAGCGACCGGGGTGACGGTGACGCGCAATGGACGGACGAGTGGCGGCGGCCAAGGTCCTCATCTCGTTCCAGAGACGGCCATGTTACCTGTTACCAGTGCGGCCTGCTGGGCCACATGGCATTGGGCTGTCGCGTCCCACGACGGCGCCTTCCGGCATCACCGCCATCCTACGCTTCTCTACACCCTAAGGCGAGTCGCGACGCACTCCACACTCAACCACCGGCCTCACCTCACCCATCTAGGCATTTTGGTTCACGGCCCGATCACACGTCGGTACAGGTAAGTCCTACGTGTGATCGTGAGGTGCGTCAGCTCTGACCGGATCAGTGGTCGGAGCTGGCCCATCGAGTGGTGGCTGCGACCGTGGGTTCATCTACTGTACTTGGGTCCATTGAGGGTGTGGAACTAAGGATGCTTGTCGACACGGGTGTATCGGCAACTATAATTTCGGAGCTGATTTTCAACATTTTGCCCCCTAAGTGTCGGGTTCTAGACCCTGTCGATGCGTCGTGTGTCGCAGCCTATGGCGGCTCATTGGGTATCGTCAGTCGGATAACGGCCGAGGTGCACATTGCTGACGTTAGCTTGTCAGGACACATTTTTGTCTCCACGTCCCTGACTGTTCCGTGTTTACTTGGAACTGATTTCCTTGGTAGGATGCCATTGGAAATCTGCATTGACCGCAGCTGTTTGGAATTGCCATCCGGACGTCGTGTGGCATTTTTGCCTTCCCCTACCTGGTTGTGTGCAGCCAATGCTACGGTGCAGGTGTTTGTTCCCCTCCACTTGCGAAAGCTGCACGAATTGGGTGCTACAGGGAACGGAGTTGTAGCTCAGAAATTGGTGTCCGACGACCAGGACCCTTTTATTCAGGTTCTTAATTCTGGGTTGGACACCACGGTCATCCAGGAGGGTACGGTGTTGGCTCATGCGTCGCTGGCACGTCCGGAAGGGGGCGTTGTCAGGGATGCGGGTGCTGAGCCTTGCACGCGACGATCCAAGGATGTGGATGAATCTTATTTAATCCATCCCTCTCGCCTGGAACCG